TTGTTGCATTTAAACTTTAGCTCACCGGTTACTTTGTGTCCTGAGCGTGAAAAATATGTTTGCACTGGGAAGTAATAGTTGTACATTTTGATTGGGAAATGCTTAGCCTAATGGTTGTGTTTTTGTATTATTATTATGATTAGGACCGACTGGCTTATTATGTCTGAGTGAATGGGCTGCTTATGCTTTAACATCCTGCTGTGTGTGACTGCTATCTTTCCATCGGCCCTATTTGTTTTACAAAAAGTGTGATCTCCTACATGGAGTGCGCTGCATATTACAGTCGCTGTTAGGCTTGGGCGGTATACCGTATACCGGGGTATTTTGAAATAGCCACGGGATGGTTTTTCAATACCGTCAAAACTATTTCTTTGAAGTTTTTCAATAAATGTGAATATTTGTAGCTACTTTTTAAGTCAACTTATGCAATACGTTAGGCGATAAAGCAGATCGCGTTCTTCATTTCACCGGTCACATTATTTTACATTATGAAGCTTATCCGTAGTTCCCCAGAACAGTTGAGCCAGTCACGTGTTTGTTTGTAAATAGCACAATGGGAGAAAGCGGGAACTGGGACGTAAACTACAAAGCCAAATAAGGAGTTAGCCTGCTAACTTGCCTCAAAATTCTGAAATAATTATTATTTTGTTGTTATTGATAAGCTTGAAATGGGCATGGTCTACTAAACTTAACAACCCAAAATACATATCTAAGTTTAGCTTTCTTTATTAACCAGATTACTTTTTTTTTTTTCTGGTTGTTTATCAAAGTTAGCTAGCTAACTCATTGATCCTGCTTTGTAGTATACCCTTCTGGTGAGTCCAGCTGTTAATTTGGTTTAACTTGTTAGTTAAAGTGGCTGAGACGGGGCATCATATAGTGTTAGCTTTCTGCCGTGTTTGAGAAGTCAAAGCGCTTTGGATGAGTTATCTGGACAGCTGCCACTGCTATCTTGATTTCCTTGCATTTTTTTCTCCACTCTGTTCTCGGCCCGTCAGTCTGCTCCTCCCCCCTCTTCTCTGAGCAGAGCAGGCAGGCCCGTTAGCATTTTGGTAATCGATTCCCAATGGGCTTTTTGCATTTTAGCGCCCCCTTGTGTACTAAGCCGATAATACCTTAAATCCCGGGATGAGATAAGGATGGTATGACTATGAAAATCTGGATACCGCCCAACCCTAGTCGCTGTCCTTTCAGCATTACGAGCCTGTCACACACATCCTTTGACGTTTAACTGTTTTCGCTTTTGGTGATAGTATGATAGTGATGGCATAATGCTACCATAGGTTGGTAGCTGGTAGCATTATCCATGCGGGTGCTGTCTCTGTGTGAGTGGCAGTCCCAAGCGTGGCTTAGCCTCAGGCATGTTTGATTTAGTTAGGCGTATTAACTGGTGACTCCAGTGACTCGGTTAATAAGGAAGTGGTCAGATGACGCAGATGCTAAGCTACAGGACTGTTTTGCTAGCACATAATATGTTCCGGGATTCTTCCGATAGCATTGAGGAGTACACCACATCAGTCACTGGCTTCATCAATAAGTGCATCAATGACGTCGTCCCCACAGTGACCGTACGTACATACCCCAACCAGAAGCCATGGATTACAGACAACATCCGCACTGAGCTAAAGGGTAGAGCTGCCGCCTTCAAGGAGCGGGACTCTAACCGGGACGCTTATAAGAAATCCTGCTATGCTCTCCGACGTGTCATCAACCAGGCAAAGAGTCAATACCGGACTAAGATTGAATCGTACTACACCAGCTCTGATGCTCGTGTGGCGCAGTGGTCTAAGGCACTGCATCGCAGTGCTAGCTGTGCCACTAGAGATCCTGGTTCGAATCCAGGCTCTGTCGTAGCCGGCCGTGACCGGGAGACCCATGGGGCGGCGTCCAGGGTAGGGGAGGGAATGGTCGGCAGGGATGTAGCTCAGTTGGTAGAGCATGGCGTTTGCAACGCCAGGGTTGTGGGTTCGATTCCCACGCGGGGCCAGTATGCACTCACTAATAAGAGCGTCTGCTAAATGACTAAAATGTAAAATGTAAATGTAATGTGGCAGGGCTTGAAAACTATTACAGACTACAAAGGGAAGCACAGCCGCGAGCTGCCCAGTGACACAAGCCTACCAGACGAGCTAAATCACTTCAATGCTCGCTTCGAGGCAAGAAACACTGAAGCATGCATGAGAGCATCAGCTGTTCCGGATGACTATGTGATCAAGCTCTCTGTAGCCGATGTGAGTAAGACCTTTAAACAGGTCATCGTTCACAAGGCCGCAGGGCCAGACGGATTACCAGGACGTGTACTCCGAGCATGCGCTGACCAACTGGCAAGTGTCTTCACTGACATTTTCAACATGTCTCTGACTGAGTCTGTAATACCAACATGTTTCAAGCAGACCACCATAGTCCCTGTGCCCAAGAACACCAAGGTAACCTGCCTAAATGACTACCGACCCATAGCACTCACGTCTGTAGCCATGAAGTGCTTTGAAAGGCTGGTCATTGCTCACATCAACACCATTATCCCAGAAACCCTAGACCCACTCCAATTTGCATACCGCCCCAACGGATCCACAGATGATGCAATCTCTATTTCACTCCACACTGCCCTTTCCCACCTGGACAAGAGGAACACCTGTGTGAGAATGCTATTCATTGACTACAGCTCAGCGTTCAACACCATAGTGCCCTCAAAGCTCATCACTAAGCTAAGGACCCTGGGACTAAACACCTCCCTCTGCAACTGGATCCTGGACATCCTGACGGCTGCCCCCAGGTGGTAAGGGTAGGTAACAACACATCTGCCACGCTGATCCTCAACACGGGGGCCCCCTCAGGGGTGCGTGCTCAGTCCCCTCCTGTACTCCCTGTTCACCCATGACTGCATGGCCAGGCATGACTCCAACAGTGGTAGGCCTGATCACCGACAATGATGAGACAGCCTATAGGGAGGAGGTCAGAGACCTGGCTGGAGGTAGCTCTGTTCTATGTGCTCTATTTCTATGCTTCCCGTTCTTAAGTTTAATTTTTTGCGACTTTTACTTTCAGTTTTGTACACCAGCTTCAAACAACTGAAAATACACATATTTTTTGTTTAATGACAAGATACTGTATTTCACACAGGTTTAGATGGTAGAATGATTCTCTACACTACCCATTGCTTGTTTTGTCACATCAACTGATATTTTAGCAACAAGGAAATGGCAGTTCGATTTCTGCATATTGCACCTTTAAACAAAATATCTTTCTCTGAGCAATTGTATTAGTAACAGCCCCAGACCATTATTCCTCCTCCACCAAACTTTACAGTTGGCACTATGTATTCGGCAGGTAGCGTTCTCCTGGCATCCGCCAAACCCAGATTTGTCCGTCTGACAAATGGTGAAGCGTGGTTCATCACTCCAGAGAACACGTTTCCACTGTTCCAGAGTGCAATGGCGGCGAGCTTTACACCACTCCAGCCGACACTTGGCATTGCGCAAGGTCATCTTAGGCTTGTGTGTGCGGCTGCTCGGCCATGGAAACCCCTTTTATGAAGCTCCGGACGAACAGTTCTAGTGGTGACGTTGCTTCCAGAGGCAGTTTGGAACTCGGTAGTGAGTGTTGCAACCGAGGACAGACTATTTTTACGCGTTACGCGCTTCAGCACTCAGCGGTCCCGTTCAGTGAGATTGTGTGGCCTACCACTTCGCGGCTGAGCCGTTGTTGCTCCTAGACGTTTCCACTTCACAATAACAGCACTTACAGTTGACCGGGGCAGCTCTAGCAGGGCAGAAATTTGACGAACTGACTTGTTGGAAAGGTGGCATCCTATAACGGTGCCACGTTGAACGTCACTGAGCTCTTCAGTAAGGCCATTCTACTGCCAGTGTTTGTCTATGGAGATTGCATGGCGGTGTGCTTGATTTTATACACCTGTCAGCAACGGGTGTGGCTGAAAAAGCCACATTTGAAGGGTCCACATACTATTGTATATATAGTGCATCTCCTCTACTGCAGTTGGTGTGTGCACAAGAATGACACTGACTCGGAGGAGAGAATTGAGCCATCAACTAATTACCAGGCTGTCTTCTGATCATGTCCTAATTATAGAGTTTATACCAGCTGTACAGTGTCCGATCATTTCCGTGCTCCTTCCTTTTCTGTGACTGAAGAGAGGGGGTGAGTGGCCAACCCACTGATGTACAGAGCATTGGTTTGACTCACAATGACCCCCAATATCAATGTGTTTTTTTTATCACAATTCCACGCTCCACTTTACCTCAATCTATCTCTCTGGCGTTGCAGAGGTTAATGCCCTCTACTCCCACTCTCCCACGCCTGAGTGTCTGTGTTTTGTCTGTGTGTGTTTTATATAATTCTGCCGGCAGTGTACATAGAAGTGCATTGACATAAGCTAGCTAAATTGTTATGTGCGTTGTTTGCAAACCAAATAGAAACTGACTGCTCAAATAAATCATCAGTCATCCATTGCAATTTTACTTATCTTGGCTATAGCTCCACTTATTTAATTTGTTTTTTAATTATGATATCACAAGAGCCATTATAGCAGCCATTATATAGAAGCAGGAATTTGGTCTTGTTTTTCTCTCTCTGCTTTCTGGTCTGTTGGACTGAAAAATGTGTATACTGGCAAGCTCTCAAAATGAAGGTGGAATTATAATGTTTTTATTGATTCTCTGAGGGGTTTGTGCACTGTATGGCAATGACTGAAATGTAAAGGATTAAATGGCTTATACACATGCATAAGGGAAGGTTCATTTTGATAGGAAACAAGCATTGCAAAATAAAAAAATAATTGCATATAATACTTAAATTGTATTATTTCTCTCATGTCTCTGTCTTTTCTGCCTTGCCAGTCATGGACAAGGCTCTGTGAGCAGATCAGTCTCTTCTACATCATCAGGATGTTGTGTGGTCACACAAAGATCTGAGGCCCAGGGTGCTGGTTGGCCCCTGAGGACGGAGACCAGTGAAGCCAGGCCCCCAGACAGTCCTCAGGGATGTTCTCCAGGGGCCACGAGAGGGGCCTCAGTGGATCAGATGAATCCAACGGGGTAGAGGCACCTCAGAGTCCACACAAGTGGTCCAAGAGGAGGGAGCTGGGGGGTAAGAAGAGGACTCAGAGCCCCAATGTGGGCCGTAGCCTGCGGAGGAAGCTCCAGAAGTTCCTGCAGGGGCCGGCAGGGCCAGGGGAGCCCTCCATCCACCAGTCCCAGGACCTGCACTCCCCTGTGGAGGTGGAGCAGGACATGTTTATCTGCGGCCTGAAGAGAGACCCCTCCAGTGGGGAGTTCACTGGACTCCACTCCTTCCTGCCCAATGGCCGAAGTCACACAGGGACTCTAAACCCACCTGTGGCTGGGGAGATGGGGCTAAACAGAGAGGGCTTCATCAACGCCCCCGGTACTGTACGCACCAACGGACCCACCACTAGCCTCCTGACCTCTCCCTCTGGAGAGAATAGCAGCTCTGAATGTCAGGATGGGATCGGGGTTGTGGAGGACACACATAGGCCTTCTCCTAGTGAAGGGGAAGAAGAGGAGGAAGTTGAGGAGGGAGAGAAAGGCTCCAGTGACATCGTTGAGCACATCTTGAAAGAGCTGAGAGGTATCAACAAGATTCAGGAGGAGATTGCAGACCTGCGGCAGTACCTGACCTCTGTGAGAGGCTCAGTGGATGAGGTCTCCTGCTGTGTGGACGCAGTGCTGAGTGAGATAGGGGAGCTCTACTCATCTGGAGCCTCAGCACCAGGACCCCAGACCCCTCAGAGGCTCAGCGTCAGACGTGGCAGCCTGGGCAGACAGAATGCCGTCACAGCCTTCCACAGGAGGGCCACCAGTCCGTTACTTGAGCGCCGGCAGGGGTCTTGGGACAAAGACCCAGTGATGATGCCACCCCAGGGGTCACCTAAAAGATGGAGAGAAAGGTTAGCTCCTTGCCAACCCGAACCAGCCGACCAGGAGAATTCCGACCACAGCTCAGACGTGCCCTCTTCAGGGCCAGGGCCCAGTCAAGCCAGCCTCTCCTACCTGGAGCAAGGGTATGCCCATGACTGCCCCAGCACCAGCTCCCTGTCGTCCGGCCACAGCTCCAACACTCTGGACCTGGACGCCAGGTACCGCTCAGTTAAGGCCAGGCTATGGCAGAGCGGCTGGGCCTCGGTGGGCATGCAGCACAGTGTGAGCGGAGATGGGGGGTGGAGCGAAGAAGACGTCTGCTCCTGTCAGAACAGTGGGGAGGAGGTGGAGGACCACTGTGCAGGGCCAGGTGGCTGGGACAGGTACACCACAGGAGACACCAGCAGCACCCCAGGCCAGTCCTCCCACAGCAGTTCAGAGCACCTGTCCCTGCTGTTCGGCCTCCACAAGAACTCCCCCTCCAGCTCGTCCAGTGTGGTGGACTGGCAGCACCCCAGGCAGCAGGGCAGCAATGGACACCTAGAGTGTGACTGTTCAGCCAACTGCCCATACTCCCGGAGCTCCGGCTACCACACAATGGAGGCCTATGCTGATGATCTGGGGAGCTGTGGGCCGTCCAGGAGCATGAGTCGCTCCACTGTGCTGCTCACAGACTGTGATGATGGCTACCTGGAGCGGCACTACCCCTGTGACCACTATACGTCCTCCGCTGACCCCCTGGACATGGGATCCGCCGAGAGCCTGGACAGGGAGTGGACTGAACAGTCTGTCCCAGGAGACGATGCAGGAGAGTGGGGGTTGGGGGACCTGCCTAGCACTGAGCCTGAGAACACCCAGCCCCTCAATGTGGGATTTGATGCGAAAAGCATTGGGAAGGCTGTGCTCACATTTAGGTCGGCTCTGAAAGGGGCTCTGAGGAAGCTGGAGGGTTCGAGCCCGGAGCCTGGCAATGATGACAGTGAGTCTGAAGCAGCTTCCTCTCCTGTCAGACCCTGCTCCCCTGATCCCCCGGAGGGAGAGATCACTATGCCAACTGATCACGTTCGCTCTGGGTCTCCACTGGAAGAATACAGCGAGGCCTCAGTCTATGTGGACTGCAGCTCAGCCCAAGAGAACCTGCCTTGCTCCCTACAAGCATCCCCAAATGAAAGGACTCACTCCCCCTGCACCCCTACCGAGTATCACTCTATGGAGCATTTAGAGAGCCAAAGAGAGTATCAGACTGATGGAGAACTGTCCAACCCAGAGCTGACACCAGACCACAGTCCTCCAGGAAGAGCTGGGAAGAGTTCAGCAGAGTCTAAACTCAGCCCGGAGGGGATAGGGTTAGATCCAACAGGGTTAAGTCCAATAGGAGAAGACCACGATGGAGCTGATCAGGATGAGTTTAGTGAACAGGATGTTGTTAGCCCTAAGAAGGAACGCCTTGCTAATCTGCAGCGCATCCTGAAAGAAAGGAGACAGAGACGCAAACTTTCCAAAACTTCCGAAGGATCCCACTCCACTTTCTCTGAGGAGGAGTTCAATCCAGGTAGATCTCCTTTCATGTGTGCTACAGTATTTGCAAGTCCAGCGAAAAACTCATATTCCCTATGTACCTAAACTCTGACTGATTTTCTTGGACTGCATTAGACGGAAATTACACATGTAGCCCGTGATTTATACCTATTAATGTAGCATTATAAGATATGATCGATCCTGCCACCTTGGATTGCAAATTGTCACTATTGATTGCTAGTGTAGTTGACCTGGTTCTTAGCTATTTATATCCATGAACCCTAATGTTGTCTTTTTTCACGGATGTTCTTCCTTCCAGATGGCAGCAGAGAAGATGACCAGGTTACTCTAATGAATATCAAATGAGCTCCCTTTTCAGTTATGTTTTGTTGTTTTCATTTACACAGATATATTTTGAGTTTTGGTGCGACTGTTGCATTTGCCGTTGGGTGTTTTCATATCGTATGCACGGAGCCAAGCATGGTCCCCTAATGTTTGTTTCCCTTTTGTTTTGTCATACCTTGAACTGAGGTGTTTAACTCTGTGCTTGTGATTTATTGTTGAGGTTTGCTCCTAATGAATGCATTTTCAAATGGCTTTAGAATTATGTTTTGATCGAATTAAAAACACCTATTATTTCTGTACTTCAAAACCTGAATAGGGTAAAATAATGATGTTCTTGGCAGCATCAGACAAATAGAAAACACTGTGGTGAAGTTGTTTTGGAGAAGCCATATTCTCGGCACCGGCTTCATTGTTTACATACAGCAGCCGATCCTGCCTGGTTCCCTCAGAACTGTTTCAAACGCTGTCAGAACCTCCTAGTACTGGGAGAGGAGAGCCCCAGAGGGATCCAGCTACCTAACTGTAGCCCCATTCATCTGAGAGGAGGAGGCACACAGGCGCTGATGAAACACTTTACCTCGGAGGAAGAGAGATGAAACATTTGTAGTTATTGTGAAACTCCAAAAGAGTTCTCTGAAGTACTTCCCTCCCAAAGTTCTCCCTGTTGTACTTTGAACATCTGCGCAACAAAAACAAGTTGTGCCTTGTTTTATCTGCATCTGTACTTTGTAGTGATGTCGGACAGCAAACTGCTCATTGTGTTCCTCATCTCCTTCCCACATTTGATTTTACATGCACCTCCCTCTTGCTATTGAGATAAACATATAAACAATTATCATTTTTGTTGTTGAATTTGATTTAGGCTTTTCAGTTTGGCAACAATCATTACATGCCATGTATGGATCAAATGTGATCCTCTCCTTGTCTCGAGACATTACTTAAAATGCTGTAGTTCTGAATGCGTTTTGTTCTGCATGTACCATCCAAGAGGTGAAACTCAACCTGCTGTGTGTCTTTCCATTCTCTCTAACCTCTGTGTACCTTTTTACATAGACGATTAAGTATATTTGCTGTGGTCTAATAACTGAATCTGAAAATCTAATGTTTGTTAAATCCTGCAGGGTCGAGATGATGGACCCAACTCCAGACAAGCTTGGATCAAACCAGGGTAAATCATAATGACACCCAAAACATTTCTGTCAATGTTGATTTAGATTTGGCATGCCTTTTTAATGTGCTGGAAAAGCTGATGCATGTGTTTATGTGTGTTCTGTACAAGTGTATCATTCTGTTCCATGTCCACAGTGGTGGAAGTGGTTTGTTTGGGATTGACAGCATGCCAGACCTTCGTAAGAGGAAGCCTATACCCCTGGTCAGCGACGTGGTAAGTGTTGCCTCCCATCCTTCTCAATGCTAAAAATCACACTTTCTGTCCTGTCTGTGATATCATGAGGAATCCCCAAGATATCACCTAGTGAGGCACATGTGAAACCAGTCTTACAATCTCTCTAATTATTCCCCACAACTCTCTTGAATGCAATCACTCTCCTTGGTCAGGCTATGGTAAGTGGAAAAAACACAATTGCTCCTCCCCTTTGTAGTCAGAAAAGAAAAGGTTATACTGTTTATCAAGTAGGACAAGAAATTGTACAGCATGCAGCTGTTCTGCAAATAATGTGCACTAATTTGCAACGGGTTTCATGGTACACATAAGTAACCAAATGTCACCATGCAACTGCACTGTAGTGTTCCTACTTGATATAATAACTTTAAGCAACATTCCCTTCCTTGTATTCTACCTCTCCCCTTAATTCATTCATATGATAGATTTATTTTGTTCTGTTGGGTTTTTTATACTCCACTGTTACGTGCTGAGCCATGTACAGACCATCACTACCGGGGTTTTAACTGAATCCACCATTGGTAACACACACACACACCTGGGTTAGGTGTCTGTTTCTTCGACTGGTCAGTGATGGTATAGTTCCTCCCATGTTGTCACCTCTTACATGACCTGTGTTGTAACAATCCTTACATTAGTTCCGTCTTTCATCCGGTTTGGTTTGGGGTGTTAAAACTCTATGGGCCTTGGACTACTCACTTAGGTAGGACACTCACTGTGTAAAAAGGTCCTAACAACTCATTAGAAATGACTTCTAACACAATACTCAACCGATCTTTGTGATCACTGTTTGGGGTTAGTTGTGTTAATAACATGGCAACTAACAATATTTTCCACAGTCACTGGTCCAGGCTAGAAAGGCTGGAATCACCTCTTCCATGGCCGCACGGTCCTCCGTCAAAGACGAGGAGCTGGTGAGTACATCATAATCAAGACTCTATTCAAAACTCACCAGAGAGAACCAATATCATAGGAACAAGTCATAGCTCAGTATCCTCACTCTCTCCTCCTCCCTCTGTAGAAGAACCACGTGTACAAGAAGACTCTACAGGCTCTGATCTACCCCATCTCTTGCACCACGCCCCATAACTTTGAGGTGTGGACAGCCACCACGCCCACCTACTGCTACGAGTGCGAGGGGCTGCTGTGGGGCATCGCCCGCCAGGGCATGAGGTGCTCCGAGTGTGGGGTCAAGTGTCACGAGAAGTGTCAGGAGCTGCTGAATGCTGACTGCCTGCAGCGTAAGTACAGCACCAGCTGAAGCTAGACAAAGAGGAAGTGTGTTTAAGATCATTTTGCGACGACACAGCCTTATTGCTGAGCTGTCGAATGCATTCAATAGGCAATCACACGATTGACAGTGTATGAGACATAGATGTCCATTTGTAATAGATTTGTACTGACACGTTTCCAGACTTTGTCTACAGAGTTCGTGGCTCTAACTTTCCTGTTTAATTACTTTTACCTCCTCACCATCAGTGATATGTAAAGTACTGTGGAATTATATGGTGTACTCCGTTGGTTATGATTGATGTTGCACTAAAGACATAGTTATACATCCAACTGCTTTCAGTCATTCTGATGACTCAGACTGGAAAATAAATTGCTTTTAACAACTGGAAAGATATATTCAAATGTGCCTATTTACATCACCACCTTCACATAAGGTGCCAAAAAGAGACTCCTATTCTATTTACTGTAATTGTGTGTGTTCTGATTTTCTAGGTGCTGCGGAGAAGAGTTCAAAGCATGGGGCTGAGGATCGTACCCAGAACATCATCATGGCCATGAAGGACCGCATGAAGATCAGGGAGAGGAACAAGCCGGAGATCTTTGACGTGATCCGGGATGTCTTTGTCATCAGCAAGGGGATCCACGCTCAGCAGATGAAGACCATCAAACAAAGTGTACTGGACGGAACCTCCAAGTGGTCGGCCAAGATCACCATCACAGGTACACAGACACAGGGAGTAATGGTATGGCACCAGTGGTCATGTTCCACAAACTGTTCTATTCTACTATAACTAGTCTTTTTCTCTTCCCATCTGACTTTGTCCATGTCTCTTTATTGATTTCTAATGACTAATGTCTGTGTCGTCCTGTCTGTCCACCTGTGGTATGATGTCTCCCTGCCTCCTGTCTCACTGGTCATCTGTCTGTCTGCAGTGCTGTGTGCCCAGGGACTGCAGGCCAAAGATAAGACGGGTTCCAGCGACCCCTATGTCACGGTCCAGGTGGGCAAGACCAAGAAAAGGACCAAGACCATCTACGGCAACCTTAATCCTGTCTGGGAGGAGAAGTTCCACTTGTGAGTCTGACTTGGCCCTGCACATGTAGTCTGTAGTCTGTAGTAGTATTATCTTGTAAGAGTGCGTGTTCCTATAATGTGTAAGCAGGCCAAGACTTCTTTGCAGCCGAGACTTCAAGCCTCAGGCCGTCTAGGTTTCCTCACCCAAAGGAGTATGTGGTCTTATTTAACCCACTTCCAAAATGTCACATGCTGTCTGGAGCCGTTTGACAATGGGAGACACTCATTTATTCAGGGTAGTAGTGCACAAACATAATGAACTATATCCTTATCCCCTTAAAGGACATTAGGCCAAACCTAGTTCAGTTGAATTATCTAAGAATGAGCTGCAATATTTACATCCAAGCAATGTAATTACCATGCCTATCTGTTCTTTGTATCAAGTCTTCACATTAACACTACTTTACTAATTTTCTCCCCCAGCGAGTGTCATAACTCGTCGGACCGCATCAAGGTGCGTGTGTGGGACGAGGACGATGACATCAAGTCCCGGGTGAAGCAGCGTCTGAAGAGAGAGTCCGATGACTTCCTGGGTCAAAGCATCATCGAGGTCCGCACGCTCAGCGGAGAGATGGACGTCTGGTACAACCTAGGTACGTCCTCTCTATCCTACAGTATAACATCTACTGTATGTGAGAGGATGGTGGCTGCCTGTGTTCATGAGACCCATCGTTATTATATTAAGTAAAGGTACAGATAAGTCAAAGGGATCAGAATGACCGCATCATAGGCGCACATTACAACACATCACAGCCCTGAGAAATAGCAGGGGGTTCACACAGGACATGTTTTTGGAGTTGTTGATTCAAAGGAGATTCTTGTTCTTAATCTAATGTTCATGTGTTCTCTGGAGTGAAGCCATGAAACTGTCCATACCAGGCCAACTCTGAGCTGTTGGAAAGTGTCCAGTGTACAGGGCAGTCTCTTTTCTTTATAGCCAGAGCAGCGCCGGTATCTCCTCTATATAACCTTACATAGCATCCCTCTCCCTTTCACAGCCTCTCCTCAGTCTTCACATGCCACTGTGCTCCCTCCTCATTGTGTCCGAGAGGCTCTATTTTTAGTGTGTGTGCGTGGGGCTTTGTCGGAATCAACGTGGAAGTGCTTTTATTCAGCCTCCGTTTTGAGGGAATATTCCCTTATACTGATCTGATGGGGTTGGTGTGAGAATCAAAAGGTTTCAGATGATCAAAAGGGGGAAGGTTGTTTGTTTTGTTCATGCTTCATTTATCCTGGAATCCTCAGTTATCCAGATATGTACTGCTGTAATCCCTATCACTCATAAATCTGCCGTTGGCATATTCTGTTAGTATCCTTATTACATCCGCCAACCCCCCTCCCCTTCCATTTTGAATTATACTCGATCATTAGTATACTCTGTAGGAGGGCTGAAATCAACCCTTTCAACTAACAGATTATTAGTTGCTACACAGTGCTTTGTCTTAATGGACTATCTGTCACCGGGTTAGTTAATGATGGGTAGAAAGAAAAAAAACATAAAATCAAAATGTTTTTGTTATATACACAGTTTACAGCAGGTATAAAAGGTGCAGCGAAATGCTTATGTGCTAGCTCCCTCAACAATGCAGTACATAAATCAATACCGAAGACCTCTTACATTAGCACAGTGGGTTAGTTAGCATCCTAGCATCTCTGCCTCTTTCATGTCACCAGCTCTGTTCTAGCCCTCTTCTGTAGTCCAGTCTGTGTTGTGCTTGTACAGTCTGTGTTGTGCTTGTACCTCATTACCCACGTCTCCCTTGGCCAGCAGCACCATTTTTCTTGCCCAATTGCCCAGGCGAGGAGTGGCCCTAAGGCTCCTACTTGCCCTGGATAAAAAACATTGTCAGTCCCCGCCATGGTCTTTACTTTCCCCTGGGCTTACTCTCACTTGTGCTTCCTCTCCTGCCCCTCTCAGTCTTCCTTTGTACACATGGCTTCTTTCTTCATCTGTTTTCTAGCTTTTACACTCTCCCTTTTGGAATGGGATGGTTAGGGACTCAGGAGGAGGGTGGGGTGTTGAAAAAGCTCTTCAATGTTCTTCTAGCTTTAAACACTTTCCAAAAGTGAATTGTTTCATTGCCCCTGGGGCGTTCCTTTTTCTTCCTTATAATGATAGTCAACCTTTTTAGGGATGCCTCACTGTCTGTCATAGACTTCCTCATCCCTGCAGATGAGATTCACAACATCAGTAACTCATGGTGTGTGTTTGTTTGCGTGCATGGGTATGTGATTAACTGTGCCGTTCTGAAGCTGCAGGCCTCTGTTTTGCCTAGTTAATCATGACTTTTTGAAAATGACTCCACCATGATACTGAAAAGGCCTTCAAAGAAACAGCACTTCTTGAATGTTAAAGTGATTGTGCAGTGTGTTAGCCCTATGAGAAGGGGAAACGTCTGTACACCTTCCCTAGACTGTGAAATATACAATTAGCTAATGTTACTCATTGAATGTGTTCGATACCACACTAAAAGAGGAGATTGAAATCAGTAGCAAACCCACTCTCTCTCTCTTTCACCTCCCCTCCATCTTCTCAGAGGAGAGATCCTCCTTGATTAATATGTAGCACGCTCCAGTCGTATAGCGACCGCTTCGACGACACGTACAAATTACCCTAATAATGTGGCTGTCAGGGGAAATAGCCGGGGTGAGCTGCCGAACACAGCACTTCCAAAATAAGACCAGCTGAAGTGTCCTCAGCTGGAAGAACAAGAACAAATCCATACAACCCTGAGCCCTTGTCCTCAGTACAAACTGGAGTAGTAGTCATATTAGTATAGCACACACTGAATGTCCTTGTAGCGGATCCACTGTAGACCCGTTGATAGTAATAGTCTGGAATTGCCGTTAGATTAGCAGACCTGGTTAGTGTGACAGATCTAGAGTATAGTAATTGACTCACTGACGTGTGTGTGTCTACTGTTACAGAGAAGAGGACCGACAAGTCAGCCGTGTCCGGTGCTATCCGTCTCCACATAAGTGTGGAGATCAAGGGAGAGGAGAAAGTGGCTCCCTATCACGTCCAGTACACCTGTCTACATGAGGTACGACACTCAGTAATCTCTCTGTTCATATGATAACTGCAGACACCATCAGTAAAACTAGTCCTAAACCAGCTCTAAAACACAGCTACTTGTGGGTCTCTGTATCACATGGACATTGTGGCTGTCTGCCTTCCAGAACCTCTTCCACCACTCAACGGACGTTCTGGGCCAGGGGGTGGTGAGGATCCCAGACGCCAAAGGAGACGATGCCTGGAAGGTGTACTTTGACGAGGTGGCCCAGGAGATAGTGGACGAGTTTGCCATGCGCTACGGGATCGAGTCCATCTACCAGGCCATGACGTGAGTCAGAGAAATCTGATGACTCTCTCTCTCTCTCTCTTGTTCTCTTTCTCTTGCTCTCTCTGTTGTTTATTCTCTCTCTTGTTCTCTCTCTCTTTCACTCTCTCTCTGTTGTCTCTTATCTCTTTCTTGTGCTTTCTCGTTCTCTCTCTCTCTCTCTTTTCTCTTATCTCTCTCAGTTATTTATCTTATCTCTCTCTTGTGCTCTCTCCGTCTCGCTCTGTCCTTCTCCCCCTCTCCTCCCCCTTTTCTCTAATATGAAATAGCCATTTGGTGCTGTTGTCATTCCCTGGTGGCCTCCAAATGAAGGAAAGTCAATTATAAATGGTCTGAGAATGGATCTGTCTCCATGAGGTGCCATTCTCCATACAGATGCCTGTTAATCGGCTCCATCATTTACACAAAGCACACTCAGGTGGCCATCCCTCAGCCGGAATGGGGCAGGGGCCTGATGGGAGATATGAGACAGCCGTCCCATGTAGTGCTAGCTAGCTAAACATAGGCCTGCTCTTGTGCAGTGTGTTGTAAATCCTATTACGTCCCTGAAATCCACTGCTACTGTAGATTATTTTGCCCCATAATGAAGGAAGATATCTGTGTGGTGTAAATTGGGTCAAAGTACATAAACATGTTCTTTGCATTTTTACTTGAACATTACATTGCGATAATTATGTAATGTGAACAAGAGACATAATGAAACATTAAAATAGTAGAATCAACCAACGTTGAGCTGCTGTCTCTGAGCCCTCCCTGACAGTGCCCTCTCCTGGTGTGTCTAGGCACTTCGCCTGCCTGTCCTCTAAGTACATGTGTCCTGGCGTTCCGGCGGTGATGAGCACCCTGCTGGCCAACATCAATGCGTTCTACGCCCACACCACCGCCTCCACCAACGTCTCCGCCTCTGACCGATTCGCTGCCTCCAACTTCGGGGTTCGTATGGCCCCACACCCCTTTCCCTCCCAAACCTAATAACACTGTCTACGTTGTACTTGTCATATACCACAGGTTGCCTTTCTCTGGATGATTTTCACCTTAATTGGTTCTCTCTTCCCTCCAACAGAAAGAGCGCTTTGTCAAGCTCTTGGATCAACTCCACAACTCCTTACGCATTGACCTCTCCACATATAGGGTAAGTTGAGAAGTTTTAACATAAATCTCAAAATATGCACCTTTCCCTTTTATCTCTGTTTTTCTAATGGAATGGTCCCCAATTATACTCTCTCAGAACAACTTCCCTGCCAGCAGTAAGGATCGTCTCCAGGACCTGAAGTCCACTGTGGACCTACTGACCAGCATCACCTTCTTCAGGATGAAGGTATAGGCCAAGGGCTGGGCTACAAAGACTCTCTGTGAAGAAACCTTTGCTCTACTCCTGCCTGTGATCTGTGTAGTGTCTTCCTTACTCTCAATGAGTACAACTATTTGTGCTATGACAGTAAATCATCACGATATAATATCACTCTTTATAGTGCTGTGTAAGCGCTCTCTCTCTCTGTAATGCTGTAACGCTCGCCATCTCCCTCTGGTGTTCAGGTCCAGGAACTGCAGAGTCCCCCCAGAGCCAGTCAGGTGGTGAGGGACTGTGTTAAGGCCTGCCTCAACTCCACCTATGACTATATCTTCAACAACTGCCAGGAGCTGTACAGCCGCCAGTACCAGCTGCTGGACACAGTGAGTCGCTCAGTCTATCTCAGTTCTACTGCAGTGTCATTTACACTAACAGAATGAATGCAGGTTATTCATATTAGAATATCCTTTGGTGATGACATTTCACTTCCTTATGTTATAAAATACATTTTACCAAGACAAATATCATTATTCATTTTCGGAATTGTTCAGTGGGGTCGTTCTCTAACATATCATTTAACATTATATCCAAAAAGATGTAACTTAATGCATCCAATAATAAGCACCAAGCTCGTTTTCCAAGTTGTTTCTGCGTGTTGCAAATAGCAAAATTAGCATGACACGAGCTGAATTACATGTAAAAGGCTTTGAAAATAAAAAGCTTGCAGTACCCTCAGTGCTCCGTTGACATTTCACAGAGCTACGCTTGTTTTTGTGAGAACTCTTTGGAAAAAGAACAGGAACGTCGCATTAATATAAACAGCGTATACTCAAATATTAAAATACTATATGTCATGTCTCAAAATCGATATTTATCTTACCTCTATATTGTTCTATGTCCTCCGTATTCGAGAATAAAGATTACGAGTTCAATAGGGAGCCTGTCAGTTAGCCTTAATTCTTGCACAGCATCCAGCCTAGCTGACGCGATGCTATTTTCCTGATTTATGACATATTTTTTTCTCTGGCCTCCATTGATTTAGTCTCCCTAATTTTGACCATCCTACAAGGGTAAAAACCAATAACTTTTTAACGGATTGTGATAGAGACATGAGTTTGATTATCTACACAATTAACATATCATTTTGCCCATTGGTCAAAATGTGTTTTTCAATGGACACACTTTTCATATGAATATGTCAAGGGATATCACTTTAATCCAGCAGAATTGTGTTACACGCAGTGTTTTGTCTGACTGGGAGTGTGGTTGTGTTCTGATCCAGCACAAAGAGGATCTTCCCCTGGAGGAGCAGGGCCCCAGCATCAAGAACCTGGACTTCTGGCCCAAACTGATCACCCTTATCGTCTCCATCATAGAGGAGGACAAGAACTCCTACACACCCGTCCTCAACCAGTTAGTACACACACACACACACACACACACACACACACACACACACACAGACACACACACACAATAATAATGTATGTACTCCTGTACTATTTCCAGTGTGTAATGATACTCTCTACCATCTCTCCTCCAGGTTCCCTCAGGAGCTGAATGTGGGGAAGGTGTGTGCTGAGGTCATGTGGACGCTGTTCTCCCAGGACATGAAGTATGCCATGGAGGGTAAGTCACCAAGGATGACCTATCAGAAGCCGAGCAGACATGTGCCCAATCTGCATCATTTTGGGGATCAAGCTCCTCAACCACTAATACCATATTCCCAGACTTATTGGCGCTACCTTGCCTTTTGTCTGAGTGTGTTTGTGTGCGTCGTAACTATATGGTGAAAGAATGAGCCCAAGAGGATACATGTGGAGTGTACTAAAGGTACTAAGTAACAGTAGAAGGAAAAGGAAATCTCCCCAGTCTGTCTTCTCCACCCCCTGTATGTGGCTCTGTCTCTGTCTCAGCATTGTGTGTCTCTTCTACCCTGTCTTTCTTTCAGTAATGGATAACGTTGATCATTACCAGTGGCTTCAGGGTAAGACTGCATACTGTACTGTAGAGGATAAAAGAGACCCTCTTATTATGCTATTCTACAGTATGTGCCAGTATTCTGTTAGCCATTAGATATTTCAGCAATAAGGCCCGAAGGGGTGTGGTATATGGCCAATATACCATGGCTAAGGGCTGTTCTTACGCACGATGCAACGCGGAGTGCCTGGATACAGCCCTTAGACGTGGTATATTGGCCATATACCACAAACCCCCATGGTGCCTTATTGCTATTATAAACTGGTTACCAACTTAATTAGAGCAGTACAAATAAATGTGTTGTCATACCCCTGGTATACAGTCTGATATACTACGGCTGTCAGCCAATCAGCAATCAGGGCTCGAACCACCCAGTTTATATAAATATTTTAGTGTTGAATATCATTTTATTTCTATCAGAGCACTGCGTTGTGAATCTGGCCAAAAGTTGACAATTTACGATGGCAAGCCATTTACATTCATAAGTTGTGTATGGCTCGTCTCCATTCCATCCTCTCCGTCTCTCCACTTCCATCTTGCTCTATTTCTTTCTATTTGTGTTGCCTTGTTCTTGTCTTTCATTTCATTCCTTCGGTCCGTGCTCATTTCTCTGTGTTCTAGCCCCATCTGAATTCCACCTTCGTGGGCAGACGTTTTATGCTGGTAAGAGCATCAACCCCCACCCCATCACTCCTCTTGTCTTGTTCTCCTCCCAGAACCCCCAACATATAAACCGAGTTAGATCTGTGTTTCCAGTGAAAACTGTCATTCCCAACAGAGATGCAAAGTTAATCCTATAGGGAAGGCTGTTTCTCTGTGGTCCGAGAGTTTCTGACGATGTTTTACATAGAGAATGATGTGTAAGGCTGAGGGCTGTGGGAGGGAGGAGAATGGGGAGAAGCTACACTGAAGCCGAGTATGGAGGGAGGGATGGAGAGAGAGGGGTATCCCACTGGGGGATGGAGGCGTTCTGGGGAGGTGAGATACAGTAGAGCTCCATGCGGTGCAGAGCGAGAGAGCGACAGACAGAGGGAGAGTAGATGTGTTGGGTGTGAAAGCTGCTTATGTCTCCCAGGACCCCCTCTATTACCTCCTCTCCCCAGAGGTGGATTTGTACATCTCTAACTTTCCTCTGTCCTCATGAAAACTCCTTTTCACACTCTCCCAATGATAGATGTCTCTCACAGGAGAGTTGAATGGTTAAGTCTGTGTGTGCGTGCATGCGCTGCAGTGTGTGTTTGTGTGTGTCTTAATCACCGTGCCCAGGGGCACTAGGGGAGTGGAGCCGCCCACCACACACTCAGCCTGCAGTAAGCCCACTTCAAAGCCCAGTTAGCTGTGGCTGTACTGGCCACTGGGGGTGGCTGGCTGCTCTTCACTCCTCTACCTCCAAGCGTACTGAACCCTACCTGTTCTGTGCCCTAAATATCCACACTACTCTTACAGTAATATTATGACTCAGACACTCATACATAGGTGCATATCTATGTACACACTGACACACACACACAAACAAACACATCCTCAGAGAGACACACACTCACTCTCTGGTGTGTTTGTCTCCACAGAGCATGAAAAGCACCGGCTGTGTAAGAGTGCCGACTACATGAACCTGCACTTCAAGGTCAAGTGGCTGTACAATGAGTATGTGAAGGACCTGCCAAACTTCAAAGGGGTTGTACCCGACTACCCATCGTGAGTTAACCGTGACTTGTCTAAACTTAACAGAAATGTGTATAAAAATAGGTTCACTCTATTTTACCACTTACTTCAATATCTCCCATGTGCAGGTGGTTCTTACAGTTTGTGCTGCAGTGGCTGGATGAGAATGAAAGCGTTTCCATGGAGTTCATGCATGGAGCTCTGGAGAGAGACAAGAAAGATGGAGTAAGTAACTGGTAGTAGTTATTTTCCCATCTTTGTCAGTTATTCACTATAAACTATATAGTTACATTTGTCTCCGTCCCCTTCTCCTTCCAGTTCCAGCAGACATCTGAGCATGCTCTCTTCTCCTGCTCGGTGGTGGACGTCTTCACCCAGCTCAACCAGAGCTTTGAGATCATCAAGAAACTGGACTGTCCTGACCCAAAGGTCATGGCCCACTACAGCCGACGATTCGCCAAGGTAACCTTACCCTCCTTGTCCTACCTATCTATCTGACCTGTATGTACTGTACTGTAGACCAATGCCTGGAGGGATAGATTGCTCTCTCATATCTCCACCCTCTGTGAGATTCATTTTAGGGAGCCTCTCCCCTAAGTCATGCTTGATTTGTACTTTTGGCTTGAAATGTTTTTCAAACTATAGCTAGGTTTCCATCCAATTGGCGACATATTTTCATGTGAATATTCAAAAATCTGCATAAAAACATGTATGCACATTTTCCCACCAGAGATGTGTTTCCATCAAATTGACTTGTTGCGGATAAAAGGCTGTGCGTGACGACGTAGTGCACATAAAAATAACTTTTGCGGTTGTATTGAATAAAAAATACAAGTTAAATGGGCTTCCACCGCATTTTCAACTCTACTGATGGTTTTGTCCAAATTAATGTTTGCATTATATAGTGAATGTGCCCACTCTGGTCTTGGCACGTGCGCTCTAGACAAGAGCTTGCACATACAGTGCGGGTATGCTACCTACTAAACCATTGTCTGGGCAAAGGAGATGATGAATATGACGAGATCTCTCTGCCCAGAAAGCTACCATTCAAGCTACAATTCACCAGCTCTGCAAGCGTTATAATGTCAAAATACGTTAGTTACTCAACAAATATGCCTGCAACTATCGTCAATTACTGCCATTACACCTGGTATGTATTGTACTTCCAAAATAGGTCTAAATAAAATTACAAGCAACCACATTTTACCCCCTTTTTTTCTCCCCAATTTCGTGATATCCAATTACGATCTTGTCTCATCGCTGCAACTCCCCAGCGGGCTCCAAAAAACATGACCCGCCAAAACCACTCTTCTTAACACCCGCCTGCTTAACCCGGAAGCCAGCTGCACCAATGTGTCGGAGGAAACACTGTTCAACTGACGACCGAAGCCGGCCAAACCCTCTCCTAACCCAGACGACGCTGGGCCAATTGTGTGCCTCCCTATGGGACTCCCGGTCACGGCCGGTTGTGACACAGCCTGGGATCGAACCCGGGTCTGTAGTGACGCCTCAAGCACTGCGATGCAGTGCCTTAGACCGCTGCGCCACTCCGGAGGCCCAACCCTGTTAAGTTTATCCACATTTATTTCATCTGTAGCCTAATAAACTGCATGCTTTCCCGAGTCGTAGTGGGAGGACCACACAACATATAATTGCGTGACTCCAAGTTTACACCGCCATTTCTCACCCAATTAATTTTACAGACACAAAAAGATCCCACCTTGTCTAGCGTATTTTGTTTTCTCGACATTTGGAAAGTTTACCGACAAATTAGCTTTTACATCAGGCCTGTCGCAAAAAATTTTTATCTGACATGTACTTTACTCCATTTAAATGGTTGGATGGAAACCTGGTTAATGGGAGAAAAAGTTTGGCATTTGCTCAAACCTTTGAAATATCCCCAAATCTCATTAAAGTGATTAATGATTATGACCGCCCATTGCATTTTCTTCTTTGGAAAACAGCCAACTCTGCCCTTTAGAGAAATCCTTACCTTTGCTTTTCTTATTTTAGAGTACTATACCATTATTACAGATATTAGCCCCAGAAAATCCCATTTCAATAAAAGCAGCCGGAGCATTGTCTGGGGGACTTTAACATTTGTGTAAAGGAATTGGATATGATATGTTCTCATTAAATAGAAATGCCTAATGGGACAATCATTCAATGTACTCTCTTTCTAGCTGGGGTTGGGCTGGCACAGTCTATAGAGAGACTGCATCACAGAGAATACATTCAGGGAATGCATTCATACTTTCAGTGGACTCTCTCCAGCAGTAGTTCTTCAGAAAAGTTACACGACAGTAACCTCACATACCCTCACTAACTTTACCCAAAAACCACACTAGCCTCTAGCCAGTGTTAAAGGCCACTTCCCATTCACAGAAAAGGATGACTGTCATTTAGTGGTTGGGATGAGATATATGACACTGAAACCTCACCCATGTTTAGTTGGACACTGTAATGACCTGTTTTCCTCCCCACAGACTATTGCCAAAGTTCTTCTGCAGTACAGTGCCATTCTGACCAAGAGCTTCCCCTCCTACTCTGACAAAGAGAAGATCGTAAGTCTTCATATCCTGCCTTACACAACATACAGTGCATTCGGAAAGTATTCAGACCCCTTGACTTTTTCCACATTTTGTTACGTTACAGCCTTATTCTAAAATTGATTAAATTGTTTTTTTCCCTCACCAATCTACACACAATACCCCATAATGACAAAGCATAAACTGGTTTTTATACATTTTTGCTAATTTTAGAATAAGGCTGTGACGTAACAAAATGTGGAAAAGTCAAGGGGTCTGAAAACATTCCGAATGCACTTTATCCTTAGAGTTTTTTATGGGAGTTTCAACCTCTAAATGGTCTCTGTATCTATCGCTTGCTCTCTTCCCCTGTGTAGCCCTGTGTACTGATGAATAATGTGCAGCAGTTGCGTATCCAGCTGGAGAAGATGTTTGAGTCCATGGGTGCCAAACAGGTAAGCAGCAACACTATGTATAGGAAGAGATGTTAACAACTAGCTTTTTTCACAGATGGGTAAGATGGAGTCTGGGTGGAGGGTCGGGGTGAACAGTGTTCATCCTCACTGTGCTCCGGACCACCAGGAACCTCCTGGAGAAGACTACAGGCGCATTGTGTCTCTGGGCTCATGCAGCCAGTTGAGCAGCCATTGGTGTTACCAGGTTTTGATTTAAAGGACTGAATGATGTGCTACTCTGCCATCACACCTAGATAAATAGAGAACTTCAACTATTTGCTATGTGTGAACACATGGTTCAAATTGCTTTTGTGTGTGACTGCTCTTCATAGACAAGATTATAAACATGGTATTTGTGTCTTTCTGTACCAGATTGCAAAAGAGGAAGCAATGGTAGGGAGATGGTTCACGTGACTTAGAGTTGAGAAGTGGATGTGTGCTACTGTAGTATCCTGCCATGTGGAATAGAGCATTAGATCAATAGCATCTATAGGCCAGTGCTTATTGTGTAGATTACTAGACTGTTAAATTAACATATGCCCTTGGTGATTCTATTATTTCCCTAGATCAATTTCCTAGAGTGCAAAAAGCTATGTACGGTCTATAGGTTTTCATGACCATACCTATGTTTAGCATCCCTACTTAAGAGCACTATGTAGTATCTATAAGTTAAATATCTCTAGGACCTGCTTTATTCTGAATGATTGATTGTCCCTTTCTTACTGAGTAGTAAGTGAGTTATTATTTGGTTTGGATGTTGAGTGAAGTAGTTTTATAGTTTGGCCTAGTAATCCCTTTGTTTTGGCTTACTGAATTGTAGCACTAGACTGAGAACTTGAGTTTAAATAGATGTGTTTCCTTCGCTGCTTAAGATTGACGAGCAGGTGGATGATGAGGAGGAGAAGGTGGGTGTGTGTTCACTTTTGGTTGAAGGCTGTTTGATAGTTGCCAAAGTGTTGTTGTAGAGCTTCTTACATATTAAGGATTTTCTATCTCACCTTCCCCCTGACCAGCAGGTCATAACTGAGGATGAGGAGAGAAAGACTCTGGTGGGTATATGATATCATTAGAAGATTAAACAGGGAGACTGTAGAATAGAGTTCACCCTCTATAGAGCCTTTAGGAATCCCCATTGTAAAACCATTGATAACTCAACTAGCTAGATTTCTCACATGATAGCTCCCTGTGGCCAATTAGATGAGTCTTTAGTCTTTTGAGGAAATTGAAGTGTAATGGGAAGAAATTCTGCACACCGAGGATCAATTTCAGATGATTGGGGTTGTGAAAGTAAACTAGTATCCATAATTGTTTGTGTATTCACTGGCATATGGCTTGTGGTTGGGTTTTTCTAACGTAAGACAGTCAGTGTTACAGTTTAATAAATGTAGAGAGTGGAACTTTAATCTGAGCTCTGTGTTTTCAAAGAAGCACAACTCTGGGGTTGTGTGAAGCCGTGATGTTGTCTTGTTTGTGTCAAAGCTCTGTGTCGTGCTGTGAGGAGTTGAACTTGAAAGGCGGACTTTCAAGGAGGGAGATATGGGATGTGTGTGGGAGGGAGTGATTAGGAATTGAGTTATCCCAGATTAAGCTTAGTAGGAAGAGTTCACAGAAACGTCACAGTACACGCTGACTCACACTCTTCTGCCTGTCAACACAAATTAGACACTTGAAAGACAAGACACACTGTTCAAGTTTAATTGTAAACAAGCACCAATTAACTTTTTAGTTTTGTTTATTTTGACAGTCAGAAATAAACTACAGTATCTTCAAAATTATACAATATAATGGAATGGTTGTAGACCGTTGACTGATAATAGACATGCTACTGTTTACACTTCTCTCTATTTATCTGTATCTGGAAAGCCTACACAGAGGTCTTCATTATAAGCACTCTGACCTTCAAAATGTGGTGCTGACTTTTTGCAGTTAGCAGGAATAAAAGGAACTTGGGCATTTTCCCCCTCTTTTTTCCCCCCTAGGGCAACATGGGCAAAATGATAGAATGGCAGCAGGTGGGTGTAAGAAAAGAGGACATTATATATGTGCATGTATGAACATTCTGTACATGGGTATATATAATATATTGTTTTTGAACCTCACGTAGAAAACTGACGATTACTTTTACTTAAATACAGAAAATGATACTGTACTGTCTGATACTGATGTCATTGTTGACATGGTCGGCTGATGTAACTTGTAAACCGACTCAGTGTATCAATCAGTTCTCTGAGGGTTTATCAACCGTTCTGCCTCTGGCTGGAGGTTCACAGTATGTTTTGTGTTCTGTCTCACTCCGACCCTTCAGGAAAGTGTGGAGGAGGTAGAGGAGGTTGAGGAGGAGCAGGTTGAGGTTTGTTGTTGGTGTAGTAGAGGTTGTGTCAGTGACACACTCAGTCACTGATATCGTCATGGTCACACATGGTCATTCACACTCACTGCCCCTCTCTCCACTCACGTAGTGGTGGTCACACGCATTCGCCACATCATTGTACCGTCTCATGGTGGAATAGGACACCGCCATGGTTAACGTGGTGACTTTGATCTTGTTGGGGTTTTCATTGGTCATGTGTTTGGTGCAACTCTCTCTTCCCCTATATGACTAAGGTAATGTTGTCCCTTACCTGTTCTCTAAAGTGCAGCTGTCTTGCTCTCCATTACACAGACATCTCCTTCCCACAACTTCATTTACTTTCAGACTACTATGCAATTTAATTATTTTGTTATTTTCCTTTGTTTATTTTGTTTTCAATAGACTGACAAAGAGAAGGTGGGTTCATTATAAACAAATGTTGCATACATACAGTATGTACTCCTACAGTATGCATGCAAAGGTTTACTTTACTTCTTTTTACAATTTTGTCTTTTGGTTAAGTCGATTATCCTAGATCTTCTCCTGGTGTTAGTACTAGATGGGTCTGTTGCTGGTGCATACTTTAGTTATTGCAACAAAACAGACACATTTGACAGGCTCTTTTTTTACTCCCCTCCTCTCAAAGATGGATGCACCCCCGGAGGAAAAGGTGGGTTAGAGTTTGTGCCTTTCTCCCTGGGTTGGATAGTGGAGCGGTAGCTATGCTGCTCACACAAATGTCACTGGTTCATTGGTCAACACATTCCCAAATTGTTATAATATCCTTTTATGGCACCATCAGATATTTACCATGTATTGTTAGCAATGTTGTTTTTACCCTATACTAGCTCTTGATAAAAGACAGCAATAAATATGGTCATATCTCCTTTTTCCCTCCCGCTCTCTGATAGCCTGAAAAGAAAGACGAGGAGAAGGTGAGTGTAGTAAGGATGTGACATCCTCAGTGAGTTCCCATCCCCTGTAACACTGTATCACTCTCACTAACAGTCACTTACTCAGCAGTATACACACGTACAGGATGCTCATGAAAAACATCCTCCATCTCTCCCTATAGCCCCTGTAAGCCATCCTCGTATCCACTGGTGCAGAACTCATTCAGTAGTCTCCCCTACAGCTGTCATATACTCTTGTCTAGAATCTAGTGTGTGGTCTAGTCCCTGGCAGTCCATGTATCAGCTGGCTTATTGTAGCGTTAGCTTAATGGACCACATCATGTTGTCATCTGTCTTGCTGGGGTTGCTTTAGGCCTCTGTGAGATGGTTTCTGTCAGACTGATGCTGTGGTTGTAGATATGGGGAACATTGTGACCCCTGGTGGTCCTCAAATAGTGTATACTTCTGAGTCAATATCATGAATCTGCTGTCATATTAAACCGCCATTTTCTTTCATCTGCTTTCTTTGAAGGTGGTGATTGTTACCGACAAAAAGGTGGGTTAGTCTGCAGGAGTGTGTTGTCTAATAAGAATAAGAATGAGTGTAATTAACTGGAAGAGAAGTAGCAGTGACATTGCAAGTATAAGGAATCTCGCTACTTTAGTCAAACATTTTTCAGTTTGAGTGACATTGCCTTTTCTTGGCAAAAAGCAAAATAACACGTTTTCTCCATTGCTGCTGGACTATTGTGTGTGCTCTACTTTGGCTTGCAATTCGCATACTTTACAGTATGTGTATTATCTGGCGTCAAAGGGAATTATGTTGCTGTTTTTTTCCCCATATCTATGGTTTTTGAGAATCATGCTTAACTGTTTTAAAATGTTTATATATGTATGTATATGTGTGTATATATATATATATGTGTATATATATATATGTATATGTGTATATATATGTATATGTGTACAGTCGTGGTCAAAGGCTTTGAGAATGACACAAATACTAATTTTCACAAAGTCTGCTGCCTCAGTTTTGATGATGGTAATTTGCATATACTCCAGAATGTCATGAAGAGTGATCAGATTAATTGCAAAGTCCCTCTTTGCCATGAAAATGAACTTAATCCCCCAAAAAGATTTCCACTGCATTTCAGCCCTGCCACAAAAGGACCAGCTGCCATCATGTCAGTGATTCCCTCGTTAACACAGGTGAGAGTGTTGACGAGGACAAGGCTGGAGATCACTCTGTCATGCTGATTGAGTTAGAATAACAGACTGGAAGTTTTAAAAGGAGGGTGGTGCTTGAAATCATTGTTCTTCCTCTGTTAACCATGGTTACCTGCAAGGAAACACGTGCCGTCATCATTGCTTTGCACAAAAAGGGCTTCACATGCAAGGATATTGCTGCTAGTAAGATTGCACCTAAATCAACCATTTATCGGATCATCAAGAACTTCAAGGAGAGAGGTTCAATTGTTGTGAAGAAGGCGTCAGGGCGCCCAGGAAAGTCCAGCAAGCGCCAGGACCGTCTCCTAAAGTTGATTCAGCTGCGGGATCGGGGCACCACCAGTGCAGAGCTTGCTCAGGAATGGCAGCAGGCAGGTGTGAGTGCATCTGCACGCACAGTGAGGCGAAGACTTTTGGATGATGGCCTGGTGTCAAGAAGGGCAGCAAAGAAGCCACTTCTCTCCAGGAAAAACATCAGGGACAGACTGATATTCTGCAAAAGGTACAGGGATTGGACTGCTGAGAACTGGGGTAAAGTCATTTTCTCTGATGAATCCCCTTTCCGATTGTTTGGGGCATCCGGAAAACACCTTGTCCGGAGAAGACAAGGTGAGCGCTAACATCAGTCCTGTGTCACGCCAACAGTAAAGCATCTTGAGACCATTCATGTGTGGGGTTGCTTCTCAGCCAAGGGAGTGGGCTCACTCACAATTTTGCCTAAGAACACAGCCATGAATAAAGAATGGTACCAACACATCCTCCAAGAGCAACTTCTCCCAACCATCCAAGAACAGTTTGGTGACGACCAATGCCTTATCCAGCAGTGATAACTAAGTGGCTCGGGGGAACAAAACATCGACATTGTGGGTCCTTGGCCAGGAAACTCTCCAGACCTTAATCCCATTGAGAACTTGTGGTCGATCCTCAAGAGGCGGGTGGACAAACAAAAACCCACAAATTCTGACAAACTCCAAGCATTGATTATGCAAGAATGGCTGCCATCAGTCAGGATGTGGCCCAGAAGTTAATTGACAGCATGCCAGGGTGGATTGCAGAGGTCTTGAAAAAGAAGGGTCACACTGCAAATATTGACTCTTTGCATAAACTTAATGTAATTGTCAATAAAAGACTTTGACACTAATGGAATGCTTGTAATTATACTTCAGGATACCATAGTAACATCTGACAAAAATATCTTATAACACTGAAGCAGCGAACTTTGTGAAGACCAATACTTGTGTCATTCTCAAAACTTTTGACCACGACTGTATATATATACAGTTGAAGTCGGAAGTTTACATACACTTAGGTTGGAGTCATTAAAACTTGTTTTTCAACCACTCCACAAATGTATTGTTAACAAACTATAGTTTTGGCAAGTCGGTTAGGACATCTACTTTGTGCATGACACAAGTAATTTTTCCAACAATTGTTTACAGACAGATTATTTCACTTATAATTCACTGTATCACAATTCCAGTGGGTCAGAAGTTTACATACACTAAGTTGACTGTGCCTTTAAACAGCTTGGAAAATGACAGAAAATGATGTCATGGCATTAGAAGCTTCTGATAGGCTAATTGACATCATTTGAGTCAATTGGAGGTGTACCTGTGGATGTATTTCAAGGCCTACATTCAAACTCAGTGCCTCTATGCTTGACAACATGGGAAAATCAAAAGAAATCAGCGAAGACCTCAGAAAAAATATTGTAGACCTCCACAAGTCTGGTTCATCCTTGGGAGCAATTTCCAAACGCCTGAAGGTACCACTTTCATCTGTACAAACAATAGTATGCAAGTATAAACACTATGGGACCACGCAGCCGTCATACCGCTCAGGAAGGAGACGCGTTCTGTCTCCTAGAGATGAACAGACTTTGGTGCGTAAAGTGCAAATCAATCCCAGAACAACAGCAAAGAACCTCGTGAAGATTCTGGAGGAAACAGGTACAAAACTATCTACAGTAAAACGAGTCCTATAATGACATAACCTGAAAGGCCGCTCAGCAAGGAAGAAGCCACTGCTCCAAAACCTCCATTAAAAAGCCAGACTACGGTTTGCAACTGCACATGGGGACAAAGATCGTAATTTTTGGAGAAATATCCTCTGGTCTGATGAAACAAAAATAGAACTGTTTGGCCAGAATGACCATCGTTATGTTTGGAGGAAAAAGGGGGTTGTTTGCAAGCCGAAGAACACCATCCCAACCGTGAAGCAGGGGGTGGCAGCATCATGCTGTGGGGGTGCTTTGCTGCAGGAGGGACTGGTGCACTTCACAAAATAGATGGCATCATGAGGAAGGACAATTATGTTGATATATTGAAGCAACATCTCAAGACATCAGTCAGGAAGTTAAAGCTTGGTTGCAAATGGGTCTTCCAAATGGACAATGACCCCAAGCATACTTCCAAAGTTGTGGCAAAATGCCTTAAGGACAACAAAGTCAAGGTATTGGAGTGGCCATCACAAAGCCCTGACCTCAATCCTATAGGAAAATGTGTGGGCTGAACTGAAAAAGCGTGTGCGAGCAAGGAGGCATACAAACCTGACTCAGTTACACCAGCTCTGTCAGGAGGAATGGGCCAAAATTCACCCAACTTATTGTGGGAAGCTTGTGGAAGGCTACCCGAAACGTTTGACCCAAGTTAGACAATTTAAAGGCAATGCTACCAAATACTAATTGAGTGTATGTAAACTTCTGACCCACTGGGAATGTGATTAAATAAATAAAAGCTGAAATAAATCATTATCTCTACTATTATTGTGACATTTCACATTCTTAAAATTAAGTGGTGATCCTAACTGACCTAAGACAGGGAATTTTTACTAGGATTAAATGTCAGGAATTGTGAAAAACTGAGTTTAAATGTATTTGGCTAAGGTGTATGTAAACTTCCGACTTCAACTCTATATATATGTACAGTTGAAGTCGGAAGTTTACAGGGTATGTAAACTTCTGACCCACTGGAATTGTGATACAGTGAATTATAAGGGAAATAATCTGTATGTAAACAATTGTTGGAAAAATTACTTGTGTCATGCACAAAGTAGATGTCCTAACCGACTTGCCAAAACTATAGTTTGTTAACAATAAATTTGTGGAGTGGTTGAAAAACGAGTTTTAATGACTCCAACCTAAGTGTATGTAAACTTTCGACTTCAACTGTATATGTGTGTGTATATATATATATATTTTTTTTTTTTCATTTTTTTTTTCTCTTGCAAATAAATAAATATATTTATATTTATTTATTTGCGAGAGAAAATAAAATATGAAAAAAAAAAAATTACACATTTTTTTCTGTACTCATACTTATCAGACTGTCTCTGTGTGCTTCTCTGTGTCTGTCTGCCTTAATGTCTGTCTGACTGTATCTGTATGTCTGCCTTTCTCTGTCTGCCTGTTTTTCTGCAGCTGGACACAGAAGCCAGTGACCTCCTGAACGAGCTTCAGGTCAAGCTGAACAATGTGCTGGATGAGCTGAGTACCACGTTTGGAAACAGGTACACACATGCTCCCACACACACACGCACAACACAGTCCCGGGATTCGAATATGTACACACTCCCCATAGACTCATGCACACAGCTTCAGTCTGTAGTATATGGAGTCCATTTTGGCTCTGAACCCTAACCCCTGTGGCTCCTTTCTCTCCTGTAGTTTCCAGGTCCGTATTGATGACTGTATGAGACAGATGGCCTCTCTGCTGTACCAGATCAAGGGCCCAGTCAACGCCAACAGCCGCAACATGGTGGAGGCCGACTCGGACAACATGCTGCGGCCACTTATGGACTTCCTGGATTCAAAGTGAGTGGATCCCTCCTGCTTCCCTATTGGCTGCTGATTTGGTGGCGTCCATTTTGGTGCCTTCCCTCTGAAGTCAAAGGTGTTTTTGTCAGTATGTTGTGCCATGTTGCGTGATTGTGTATTTGTTGATTTGCTGTATGTCTTGTCTCATTAAACGTGCGTGTGTCTATGCAGGTTAACGCTGTTTGCCACGGCGTGTGAGAAGACTGTTCTAAAGCGGGTTCTGAAAGAGTTGTGGAGGATTGTGATGAGCAGCCTGGAGAAGACCATCGTTCTGCCCCAAGGAAACGACACCTTTGTAAGGCCTAACACCCTCATAACATTTACCTTCAGACCTGGGCCTTTTCCTCATGACCCTCGACTTCAAACACACTATCACCTAATGTTATGTGTATTTCTCTCCTCAGGGGGCTCAGATCCTGTCTGCAGCCAAGGAACTGGGGCAGCTTTCCAAGCTCAAGGATCACATGGCAGGAGAGGCCAAAAGCCTGACACCTAAACAGTGTGCTGTCATGGATATAGCACTGGACACAATCAAAGTTTGTCTTTGAGTTTATAGTCAAACATACACCTGTGGTAAAGTTACTACTTAGATGATGAGCCTTGTTGCTGAGCCTTTAATTACAGGCCTCATTCATTGTACTGTAGAGAAACAAACCTTCCATCTCCCTCTCTTTTCCCATCTTCTTCCCCTCTTCTTCATCTCTCTTTCTCTCTCTCTCTCTCTCCCGCTCTCTCACTCTCCCGCTCTCTCACTCTTCTGCAGCAATACTTCCATGCAGGAGGGAACGGTCTGAAGAAGGCATTCCTGGAGAAGAGTCCTGAGTTGACCTCACTACGCCATGCTCTGTCCCTCTACACACAGACCACAGACACACTCATCAAGACCTTTGTCACAACACAACACACACAAGGTAAGGCGGCGTGCATGCACAAACACACACACACAATAGCATCAGTCTGCTTCCCATTGTTTCTAACTAAATACTGTACATAACGCAGTCATAAAATAAGACCTTTGCTTCTCCCCTGCTTTGCCACCAGGGGTAACCAGAGAGGCTCCAGTGCTCCCTCTTGAGTACTGTTCTATTTAGTGTTGGGCTTGAAGTTGATCTATCAGCTAAATACGGTGTATGCCTCTATTACATACCTCAAAACTAGCTTTCTCTGGCTGTGTGACTGTTCTGTGAGTTGTTGCCGAACTCTAAAATGACTCTCTGCTGCCATTTGACACGTTTGCTTATTTGTCTTCTCTCTTGTGATCTCTTCTGCTGCCTCCTCACCAGTGCACAATGGGAAGGGTATTAGGTTAACTCCCAACGAAAAAATACAACCCTCCAGGGGTAGGTTGTGCCATTAATGGATAGCATGTGCTAACAACCCCTCTCTCCTTTACTCTGTTTACATAAACCCCCTCCCATCTGCCCCTGTGGGTGAATTTGCCCCAAACACCAACCCTGACTGATCCTCCTCCTGGTTGTATGACCCTACCCATACCCTCTCCTCCTCCTCCCTAAAGGATACTACTCCTGGTATCTATAATCACTGACCACCATTGGAAGATAATGTCTTGTGTTTCTATCTGTGTACACTAGGCTCAGGAGTGGACAAGCCGGTGGGAGAGATATCCATACAGATCGACCTATTCACCCACCCTGGTACTGGGGAGCACAAAGTCACTGTCAAAGGTTTGTATATTTGTACAGTTAAGGAAAAATTACTCCAATTAACCCTTTTTCTCTTTCTCTCCCCATCCCAACAAACTAACTAATCTCCTTCCTCGTTGTACCAGTGGTGGGAGCCAATGATCTGAAGTGGCAGACCTCTGGGATGTTCCGGCCCTTTGTGGAGATCACCATGATCGGACCCCACCTCAGTGACAAGAAGCGCAAGTTCCAATCAAAGTCCAAGAACAACAGCTGGGCACCCAAGTTTAACGAGACCTTCCACTTGTGAGTCCAGAGTCAAGCAATAGTACAGTAGCATGTTGCCTAAAATAATCCATGTGTAGCCCCTTGAAATAGCCATTGCTCATTGTAAAAAAAGTATACAAAATAATCTCTCACTCCCTCCCTCCCCTCCTCCATGTCTCCTCAGTATCCTGGGTAACGAGGATGGCTTTGAGTGCTACGAGCTGCAGATGTGTGTGAAGGACTACTGTTTTGGCCGTGCCGACCGGGTGGTGGGCATGGCTGTGATGCAGCTGCGGGACGTAGCAGAGAAGGGCAGTGTGGCGTGCTGGTGCCCCCTTGGCCAGCGGGTCACCATGGACGATACAGGCCTCACCGCCATGCGCATCCTCTCCCAGCGCTCCAACGACGAGGTGGCCAAGGAGTTTGTCAAGCTCAAGTCTGAGATACGCTCTGAGGAGGAGGGCAGATGAGTTCTCCCTGAAGGAGGGGAGGGGTGTGAAGGGCCTCTAGGAAAGTGGAAAGTAATAGGAGCACCTTGACTACTACTACTTTGGACTAATAATGTTTCCTGGCTGCTACTGGCTGTTTGATGGACACTGGTTCACCAACACACTGTCACTCTCACTGTGTATTTGTCATACTCACCTTTTGTATCCCCCACTCACTATCTCCTACATGTGGGTAGTTAGTTTCTCTCCCACTCAATGGTTATTAGACACACTCTCACACGATAATGTACTTCCTGTGGGTCTGCCAGTCTGGCACTATGGACATGCCATGGGCGCTATATGCCAGTCATTTCCTGCCAGCCTGTATGTACTTCAGTACAGGGTCTCCCCCTCACCCCACAGTTCTACTCAGTGTTCATGTGCAATACCCCCCAACTGTGGCCATACGTTTGATGCCTTACACTTTAGAAGCTGTGAATGTGTGAAGTTCAGACACAAACTGTAACTATAGTAGAACGCTGTTTGTTTATCTTCCTCAATCTCACTTTAGTGTTCTTCATGATCCATGTTAAAATCTCATAGATGCCACTATTAGGGTCTAAACGCAGGATGTCATTGTTGGTGCATTGGTCAAAGTAGATTCACCTATTTCTATCGTTTTGACTTCCACCACATGTCAAGTACCCTGCTCCTAAACTCCTAAATATAGTGTACAAATCCACTGGTTTTTCCTGTAGAAAAGTGAAGTCTGTTTTTTTGTGTTGAAAGTATGGTGTGGTGGTTCTGAAGTGAGTTTTACATTTGAGTCTCCCCCCTATTTTTTGACGAGGTACTGTAACGGCAACAGCACTCAATGTAAAGGGTTTGTAGATTGTGTGCCTTGCCAGGTATTGGGCTCCTATTCATGACCCATTAGTCCCATACAGTGTTAACAATGCACTTTGAATGAGAATTACTGTAATGTGTTTTAGTCTAAATTGTCATAAACGTTCTTAACTCAAGGGCTGCCTTCTATCCAGAGAGAAACTTCCTTTTTAGGATAGAGATTGGTGAGCACTTTTTAATCTGGACTATTGCTTATTGCATCAAAAACGGCAATGGTGTATGTAGGGCCCTGTCTTGAATTTAGTAATCACTACTAAATAACCCTGAATACAACATTTTACAAACATTTGGCTAATGTTGCCAACCCTCAATGACAGCCATTTTATTTATAGTTTTTATGTATTTATTCCATAGGTAGAATCTGGTCTACTTTTACAAACAGAGGGCTGCTAGATAGCGTTTGAGTATTGTTTGCAAAGTGGTTGTTTTGAATGGCTTTTTACTGCAGTTTTCTTACAGGACCCTACAGATGCTAACTGGACCTAGAGGGTATTTTGGGTACCAGAGGAGTTTAAACGGTTTTCATCTCAGATGAGGGAAATGCTAGCCTCGTATGGTTCGTAACAAGGCTAGGAAAAGGAAGTCCAAGCCCTCGGTTTGCAAATATTTTCCAGCTATGTTTCCTTGTATCTCTGAGTGGCCTTACATTGGTGATAATAGAAGATGTCTGTATACATGTTTTTAACCCCATGTTTTCTGTGTATTTCTTTTGTCTCACAACGATGCAGAGGATTGGTCAATTTGACCAAAATCAACCATATCAGACTGAGGTTGTCAATGTGATTTTCCTTATTGCTGTTACTTTATGTTTGTTTTTAATTGTATTGGAGGATTTATATTTGTTTAGATGTAGTAATTTTCTTAGATATAGTATTTATATGTTTGTTTATTATTTTCCATTTTGATCCCTCTTCAGAAATGTTGGAATGATGTTCAGTACTGTATCATGAGTTCTATTTTGATGTACAGTATACAGTAAGGGGTGACGCTTGCCCGTCAACTCCCTGATAGAAATGAGAGGAGAAAAAAAATCGAACATATCACTCCTAACAAAAATATTTTGCTATTTGTCAAGTAACACTGCCGTTGTCCATACAATGATAGTCAGTTTGATGTTCACACAAAGAAGAAAACTGCAAATTACACACTGCTAAAGCTATATCTGGGCTTTATATGCGGTATCTACAGTACCAATGTGAATACATACATATTTTGGGCTGTTGATTTAGAGGGAAATGTCTACTTTTGAAGAGGGCACTGCCACTCTGTAACATACATGTTCCTTGTGCCAAGCTGTGCAAGTGTTCACTTTTTATCGTTTCATTACGTTTTTTTAAGTGCATCTTTTTTAAATCTTGTGAACCCTTGCACTATAATTAAATCACTACAATAGTTAGTTAGCACGTATTGTATGTCCGAGTAACGGGACTTTTGTGAAGTTTTATTTGTATTTTGTAACTGTAAAAAAACATGGTATTGATCATTAAAATGTGTACATTCCTATTTATTAATTTTGTATAAAGTATTTAAGAAATATCTAATGATGTGTCTGGCTAATTATTAGGGGTTCAGTATGTAGGCCCATGGTACATCTCATAACTTAATTTGAGAAAAGCTAAGGGATTGGTTAAGAGATTACTGAGTAATTGATAAATCAGGAAATCTGATTTTACTTGTCCATTTAAATCCTTTGTAAATCAACTAGACAATGGCCCATCAACTCAAAACTTTTTAGGGTCATCACAGACATTACCGTGATGAACCATGTTAAGTTTACCATTTATCTTCAAAAATAAGGATACTTAACGATTACATTTTTTACTATGTAACGCTAATGCTTTAAATAATCATGAAAAATCTCTTGGGCTAAATGTGGAATGTAGGACCATGGTACATGTCTTAACTTAGTTTGAGAAAAGCTAAGGGATTGGTCAAAAGATGGCTGAGTTATTGACAAATCTGATTTTCTGTGTCCATTTAAACCTGTAAATCCACTCCACAGTGGCCTATCAACTTGAAGCGTGTCATCGTTATCATGGACATCCCTAAGATGATCCACACTGAATTTGGTATTGATATCTCACAAAACAAGGAAATTATTAACAACTAATTATTTGCTTATGTAACGCTAATGCTCAAAATCATCTTATCCTCATGAACCATACTGCAGGTTCACTACAGATTTTGTGTACAGTTGAAGTCGGAGGTTTACATACACCTTAGCCAAATACATTTAAACTCAGTTTTTCACAATTCCTGACATTTCATCCTAGTAAAAATTCCCTGTCTTAGGTCAGTTAGGATCACCACTTTATTTTAAGAATGTGAAATGTCAGAACAATAGTAGAGAGAATGATTTATTTCATCACATTCCCAGTGGGTCAGAAGTTTACATACACTCAATTAGTATTTGGTAGCATTGCCTTTAAATGGTTTAACTTGGGTCAAACATTTTGGGTAGCCTTCCACAAGCTTCCCACAATAAGTTGGGTGAATTTTGGCCCATTCCTCCTGACAGAGCTGGTGTAACTGAGTCAGGTTTGTAGGCCTCCTTGCTCGCACACGCTTTTTCAGTTCTGCCCACAAATGTTCTACAGGATTGAGGTCAGGGCTTTGTGATGGCCACTCCAATACCTTGACTTTGTTGTCCTTAAGGCATTTTGCCACGACTTTGGAAGTATGCTTGGGGTCATTGTCCATTTGGAAGACCCATTTGCGACCAAGCTTTAACTTCCTGACTGATGTCTTGAGATGTTGCTTCAATATATCCACATAATTTTCCTTCCTCATGATGCCATCTATTTTGTGAAGTGCACCAGTCCCTCCTGCAGCAAAGCACCCCCACAGCATGCTGCCACCCCCGTGCTTCACGGCCGGGATGGTGTTCTTCGGCTTGCAAGTCCCCCTTTTTCCTCCAAACATAATGATGGTCATTATGGCCAAACAGTTCTATTTTTGTTTCATCAGACCAGAGGACATTTCTCCAAAAAGTACGATCTTTGTCCCCATGTGCAGTTGCAAACCGTAGTCTGGCTTTTTTATGGCGGTTTTGTAGCAGTGGCTTCTTTCTTTCTGAGTGGCCTTTCAGGTCATGTCGATATAGGACTCGTTTTACTGTGGATATAGATACTTTTGTACCTGTTTCCACCAGCATCTTCACAAGGTCCTTTGCTGTTGTTCTGGGATTGATTTGCACTTTTCGCACCAAAGTACGTTCACCTCTAGGAGACAGAACACATCTCTTTCCTGAGCGGTATGAGGGCTGCGTGGTCTCATAGTGTTTATACTTGCGTACTATTGTTTGTACAAATGAACGTGGTACCTTAAGGCATTTGGAAATTGCTCCCAAGGGTGAACCAGACTTGTGGAGGTATACCATTTTTCTTCTGAGGTCTTGGCTGATTTCTTTTGATTTTCCCATGATGTCAAGCAAAGAGGCACTGAGTTTGAAGGTAGGCCTTGAAATACCTCAAATGATGTCAATTAGCCTATCAGAAGCTTCTAAAGCCATGACATCATTTTCTGGAATTTTCCAAGCTGTTTAAAGGTACAGTCAACTTAGTGTATGTAAACTTCTGACCCACTGGAATTGTGATACAGTGAATTATAAGTGAAATAATCTGTCTGTAAACAATTGTTGGAAAAATTACTTGTGTCATGCACAAAGTAGATGTCCTAACCGACTTGCCAAAGCTATAGTTTGTTAACAAGAAATTTGTGGAGTGGTTGAAAAACTACTTTTAATGACTCCAACCTAAGTGTATGTAAACTTCCGACTTCAACTGTAAATAGACTCATTACATCAGTCGCTTAATGGTTTTGCGAAAAAATTGTTGCTGCATTCAAATATGGCTGGACTGTACCTATAGATGCACGTTAGCGGGTATGCTGATGCAAAAAATACTTATAAAATCTTATTCTCATGAACCATAAGTCAGATTGACTCCAGATTTGGTATATAGACTCAATGAATTAGCCTCTAATGAATTTGAGAATGATTCGTTTCAGCATTCATTAATCAGCCACGCTACACTACCAGATGGCACCATATCCCACTAGGGCTATAAGAACTGAGCCGACGGACATGGGGCCATGAAATTTGGTATGGAATGCCTTCCTAATATTGAGTTGCACCC